TCCCCCCCCCCCCCCGCCCGCCGCTCCCCACCCGGCCCGTATCCGTTACCGCCGCCGTAGCCGTAACCGTCCCAGCCGAGGTCATACGGAAGGAAGGTGTTCCATCAGGGGCTTTCCGTTAGCGTTCAGTTTCTCACGTAAACGACATTTGTGTTTTTGCTGTTGCTTCGCGTTCGGCATCTGTTGCCCTTCCGTTCGACGCGCGGATTGCTGCAGGTCGATGCACGGGGAGATGCTTCGGAGGATGGCGGAGGGAGACAGGGACAGACGAAAGGTGGAGCAAGTCAAGGAGGCCGAGGCAAAGGTGCGTTGTTGTGCTGCCGGATGGTGCGGGAAAAAGAGCCTTGTTGCACCCTCCCCCGAAGAAGACCGACTTTCAAAGCCCGATTATTCCAAAACCAAGCTTGTGCCAAACCCCAAGACGGCGGTGGTTCTTAAAAACATCCCGAGATCTTGTTACACTCTGTTAGTGACTCGGTAGGTCCAACCGGTGTTGCACTTTGCAAGGCTAGGTTCTTCACCTCACATCCACCCTAACCCTCACCCACGGCCAAAGCACGGCCTGGCGGCCGCGAACTGGTCGAGAACGCGGCGCGTTCTTGGAATGCGGAACGGGGAGAGGGCGCTGGAGAGGGTCTAGGCTAGGAACCAACGCCGGACTAATCAGAGGGCGTGGAACCGCTTAGATAGGAAGAGTCACTGACAGGTTGCAAAATTACTAACACCTCGTCGAGGGCTTTCCGTAGATGTATTGGCCTCTTTCCTCGCCCCCTTGTTGGTGGAGCAATCGAGCTTCGAAAGTCGGTCTAGGGGGGGTGCCATATCTCCGCTTCTTACGGAATACCACGGTACGGTTATCGGTGCGGTACAGACAATCTTGGTTGTGGAACTATCGAGCTTTGCAAGTCGGTCTAGGGGGGTTCCATATCTCCCCCTCTTACGATAGTTGGTGTTGTACTTTATTATGTCTGTCGTGGAGGTGCTTGTGGTCTGGGCTGTCCATGACATGCCTGTCTTGAGTGCTACTGCTGTATTGCTGCTGACTGCTGTGACTGCTGTTGCCTTCTGCTGTGGTCGCTGCTCTTGTGCTACTGCTTTATTTGTCTGCTACGGCGGTCCTTGCTGTAAAACTGCTCAGGCACGCGCGGAGGATGAGGAGGACGATGAGACTATCCGCAGGAGAAGACAGATCGACGGAACGCCGGTCACAATCGAATCGTTCAAGGCGTGGCAGGTATGCCTTACTGGTCGTCGTCGTCGTCGTCGTTGTTGTTGTTGTTGTTGTTGTTGTTGTTGTTGTTGTTGTTGTTGTTGTTGTTGTTGTTGTTGTTGTTGTTGTTGTTGTTGTTGTTGTTGTTGTTGCTGTTGCTGTTGCTGTTGTTGCCTCTGTTGTTGTTGTTGCTGTTGCTGTTGCTGTTGTCGCCTCTGTTGTTTGTGCGGTTGTATTGCCGTGGCGATGAGAACGACTTAATTGAATCACGAATCCTCACGCTGTCGTTGATCGCCAATCCTCTCCGATCTCCGGTTGGCCCACCGCCGTGCGCACGGAGAATACCACTTCCGTGCGCACGGAGAAAACCGTTTGTTTATTCCCCAAACACGGAAAGCTGCAACGTCTTATGTCACCTTTGATTAACGAGTTGCTCTGTCACCGAACACAACAACACCGCCACACACACTCGTGCACAGCAGTAGAGCATACAGCAGTAGAGGTCCCTGTTTAGTGCCGGTTGAATAGTGCCAATGCCCGGTATCGTGCACACACTGAATCCTAAGTCAATGTCTGTTAAGTCGGCGGTTCTCAATAACGGTACCCTCAATAGCGGAATGCCCTCTATAGCGGCACCGAAATCGCTTGGCACAAATGCATTTCTTAGCACATTTCCTACTGGGGATAGCGGCACTGCCCTCTTTATGTAGCGGCGGCAACACCTGTCGTCACTACCTACCGCTATTGAGGACCGCCGACTGTAGTTTGAATGGGATGGGTCTGGCGTAAGTGCCGGTGAATTTTCTAGGGGCACACTGTAGTGGGGTCCCAGCCTCAAGCCTCACGTTGCTCCCGCACACACACACCCAAAAGCACGACATTCTCTCCTATGTGTTACGCTTTCGTTTGGTTGCTTGGTTGCGGTTTCGACGACGAATCTCCAAGACGGCGTTCGAGCTGGAGATGCGGGGAGGCAAGGCCATCGCGGAAGAACAGGTGGCCAAGAAGCCCTCCGGGAAGGAGATGTTCTTGAGACACCTCGTGGCGGAGGAGGTCGCGGAGGGGGAGGAGGAAGAAGACGGTGAGTTTTTTTGTTGGTGCTGCTGTTCATGACGGAAGTCGGTTGTCGATATTTCTGTTGTGTTTGTTGTTTTGTGACCTTGGTTGGTGTAGTCGCTACGGCATTGCTGACCGTGTGTACGCTTCCCCCCCCCCCCCCCCCCCCCCCCCCCCCCCCCCCCCCCCCCCCCCCCCCCCCCCCCCCCCCCCCCCCCNAGGAAGATTGTGTTGGTGCTCGTCATGATAAAAGTTTGTTCGTGGTTGTTCTTGTGGTAGGTGGTCGTGGTGGTGATTGTCGTTGATATTGTTGGTTTTCGCCGTTGCTGTCGCCGTTGCTGTTGTTGGTCTTGCACTTGGTGCCGGTTTTGTTTTGCCCTCCCCACGGTGTAAATTGCTATGAGATAGGCATCATGAGTACGCCCCATCCCCCAAAGGATGCAGAAGCGGAGTTCAGCTGCTGTTGATGATTCATGGTAGTGTCGTCGTCGTCATCTTTGCCTTGGTATGATACAGTCAATTGCTACGGCCTCTACAGATCAATTAATTCAGTTATTTAGCGCCCGCACTTACAAGCTTGGGCAGTGAAGATATTGATGAAGCCCTCGAAAAAATCAAAATCTAAGAACTTGAGCACCTTTGGCGAGCCCGGTCAAGAACCCCCGCACATAAACCTACATACTCCGCTTACCCCCCCCCCCCCACATTAACCCTGCCCCGGTGTTTGCCATCAGGGTTGGGTTTTTGTCGCTTGGCAACGACGTTGTAAAACAAGCCAATTCACTTCGTGAACTCGGCAACCAGGTTACCGTTTTTTTTTTTAACTGCGTTTTTTTTTTTGGCGGTAAACATAATGGTGGTCGAGTAGATCATGTTGTGCGGGGTGGAGAAGCCTCACTCCGCGCAAGGGGGATAATCGCACCACGTTGTGTTTAAATGGTGAAGCACCCTCGAGGCAGTTTCACAGTGCTTACAACTGTCTCATGAAGTGAAAGCACCAGAAAATACATCAAGTCATACGCAGCTGTCATCCGTACGCAAGGAAGTAAGCA